AATTTACAAACAGATTTTCTTCAGTTTTTAAGTTTAGTTTGCAGAACTTTGATGTTCTATTTAGAAATCTTGTCATTTTCATACAAAAATAAAAGTAATAACTCATTCCTTGATTAATGGTCAATTAGCCCATGGGCTTGACACGTTAAATTTTTTTGAACGTTACTCTTGCCATTTACAAAGTTAGCTAATTAAATTCTCTTACATATTTAAACTACATTTACAAATTTAATATACTTGATTTTTTCAAGCACTTTAAATTCCTCATAGGGCCGATTTACAAGTCAAACAAGAAAAAATCTTAAGCATGCAAATGACTCTCATAAACCTAATATTTCAAGCTTTTAAATGTGTCAAATCAAGTTATCTTAAGGATTTCAATATTGTTTACAAACATAATCAAATTATGCTATACCTTTCAGCTTCAAGTTACAAGTCAAAAATCAATTACACAATTCAATCTGAAATCTCAAGACTAATCTCTCAGATTCTCTAGTATGCCAACTTCTCTTAAATATTACACACACATTAAAAACACACACACAGACTATCTCAGTCTTCAGAAATCTTTTCCCTTAAGGGGGCACCTGGTAGGCTCAGTCTGTGGAGCGTCTGACTCCTGGTTTCTGCCCAGGTCATGCTCCCTGGGATCGAGCCCCTCATTGGGCTCCTCACTCAGCAGGGAGTCTGCTTGTCCCTCTCCCTCTGCTCTTCCCCATGCTCACCCTCACTCTCTCAAATTAATAAATAAATAAAATCTCAGAAAAAGAACAAAAGACAAAACTCTTTTCCCTAGGGGCACCTGGGTCACTTAGTCATTAAGGGTCTGACTCTTGATTTTGGCTCAGGTCAGGATCTCTAGGTCTTCTCTGAGATAAAGCCACCCTCCGGGGTCTGTGCTGATTAGGAAGTTGGTTTAAGATTCTCTCTCGCCCCCTTCCCCTACTCACACACTCTCTCTCTCTCTCTCTAAAACAAAACAAAACAAAACAAAACATCTTTTCCCTAACCTTACACAATAAAGTAACATTATGGACTTCTTTTTATATAGCATTTTCCTTTCCAAGGTGGTAAAAACGTTTTCTGTTCATAGTTTTCTTGCCACAATTCTACAATCATCTTATTGATTTGTCCCAACAATGAAATAAAAGTCTGATAATTATCCTTCTAAATGTAAACCTAGATTTAAACAAAATGAATCAGTGTATTAATTTATATTATTTATCTATGCAAAGGAACAAAACAACACTTATGATAGAGTGAATGATGTAACCAACTATTATACCACCCTGTTCTTTCTGTGTATACTTCTTTTTTTGCTTCATCTGTAAAATGGGCATAGCAATTTCTGTCTTAGAAAACTGCACAGCCAAACAAGACATCTGTCATAAGCACAATAACTCAACATATGTTCATTTCTTCCTTTCTCCTTTTCTGACACCACAATCTTTCCCCAAAACTCAGATTAAAGTGGAGAAATTCTAGGGTCTCTCCTTCTTCTAAGCGTAAGGGGCAGGCAATTCTGTGAAACAGAAGAAAAGTGACTTTCTCCGGAGAGGTGCCCCCTTCCTCACTCTGATCCCTCCACTGTCCACAGTGGGGTTTTGAAATAATTTACTGCTTTAAAAAATAGAAAATTAGGGGTACCCATCTGGCTCAGTTGGTGGAACATACAACTCTTGATTTCAGGGTTATGGGTTCAAACCCCGTGTTGGGCATAGAGATTACTTTAAAAAATAATGTATATATTTGTATCTCATATTTAAAGGATATGTTAAGGATTTTAAGGTCATGTAAAGACAATCTGTTGCATTATGCTATACCCTACACTATATATCTCCATACACCCAGGAGGATTTCCCCACACCCTTACCAGGACAGCACTTGGCTTTGAGCCTACACACAACCCTTCTCTTACACGGCTCAGTAGCAGCGTTATTCAGGTTCCTGGAAACCTTGTTCTTTCTCAGCAGACATGGGAATCCACATCTCTAAGTCCCACCCAGGGCTTCCCTTGCACTCTGATTCACAGTATCCACAATTCCGAGATGCAGAGCATGCCAAATTCACCCCGCCTTTCCCTGGTGTGGTTCACCTGAGAAAACGTTCCCATGCTGGAGGAAGCCTTACCATGTGCTGGAAATGAACTGGAGAAGCTGCCCTCAGTAAGGTCAGAGATAAGGGGGTCAGATCAAAACATGAGAAGTTTGGTGAGTGCAGCTCCTGGGGAAGTCCATCATCACAGAATTCTGAACTTTGCAAAAGGAGTTTCACCCTGGATGTGATGCAGCAGGCAACTTTGAAGAACTGTCTTCTAGCCAAAGCTAGGAAAAGTTGAGGTATTAGGCACCAGGAATGATTCCAAGATTGCAGAGCAAGAAACGAGATAAATGGAACTGAGAGGTATTGTGATTTGTCTGTCGATTTCAACAATGGATGCCCAAATGTTACTCTCCAGATGTCATACACGCCTCCACATCCTCACAAGCATCCATTTGGTTGCCAAATCTCAGGTGGAGGGAGACTCTGTGGCTTTAGTCCCTTCAGCTATTCAGTGACTTCTCAGAAAAATCCGGTTTCGGCTCACATTAGTTCAGCACCTGATCTGGGTCTTGTGACACTGCCCTTCTACTGGATCACACAGTTTGCTGGGGATCTGCTACCAGCCATGTGCTCAATAGGCTAGCTCACTGCTTTTTGTTCCCTTATTATCTGGTGGGCTGAATCCTCTCTCCCTCCCCCGCCCCCTGCATTTTTAATTTAATATGCCACTAGTTTGGTGTTCACCTTTTTTTTTTTTAAGATTTTATTTATTTATTTGACAGACAGAGATCACAAGCAGGCAGAGAGGCACGCAGAGAGAGAGAGGGGGAAGCAGGCTCCCTGCTGAGCAGAAAGCCCAGAGGTGGGGCTGGATTCCAGGACCCTGAGATCATGACCTGAGCTGAAGGCAGAGGCTTTAACCCACTGAGCCACCCAGGCGCCCCTGGTGTTCACCTTTTTAACATGTCCAGCAATTGGTGAATCCACCCCAGAAGCTGGGTTTGCTGGTTTTCTGGTTCTTTTGGACACTTCCAGAAATCTTTCGTAACTCCATTCCATCTCTCTCTCTTCCTCTCTCTTTCTCTTACACACACATACCCACCCACACACGCAGGATTAGAGTAAATTAAATCCATATTTTACAAGTGTCTTTGATCAGGGGCCTTTACATCTGAGGTGTGTACAACGGAGCAGGATATGGGGGCGGGGCTTTTTATTTTAATTAACCAATGAATTCATCTTATTTTAATGCGATTCAGATGGTTAGGTCATAAAAACCTACATTCAAGTCACTGAGAGGTTTGGGCAACGGGAGCATTTTCTTGTTCAGATGGACACCTAGTGACCTAAAATAAAACTTTTTTTCAGAGGAGGTAAAACTGCAGGCACAGAAAGGTACACTGTGGGGTGGGGCGGGGAGGCGGGGAGCCTCTGGGTACAAGGCAAGGCAGGTTTTATACTCCCCACGCCTTCAGGATAGAGTTCCAACTCCTTACAGAGGCAGAGAAAGCCACAGCTCCAGCCACTGCCCACCTGCCTTTCCCCCAGCCGTAGAAATACCGGCTCTTCCAAAAAAGGTCGTCAAGCTATTCTCAAAAAACCCCGCGGTTAGACAGTGGGAGGTGCACCCAGAGGCCCCGCCCACCAGATGGCACTCTGGCGTAATCGGCCCGGCGACGGCCATCTTGGATTCCGGCAGCCCGCCCACCTCTGTGGTCTTCCTCGCGGTGGGGCGGTGGCGCGGCGGCTGCGTGCTGTGGGCAGAGAGGAGAGTTACCCTACCTCCCGGCCTGAGCCTTTGGCTGTCCTGTGCTGGAGACCAACCGCTCCGGGCCGCACCTGGCCGGGTCTCTACGTAAAACCGCTGGCCAGTATCCCCGTGGCAAGTGCCAGCTCCCGCCCTTTCTACCTGGTGACTCTGGGCAGGTACCTCAGTTTTCTTTATCTGTGAAGTTGGAGCTTAAGCCCCAGCCCCACCTCCCAACCCACCAGGTCACCAGTCATAATACCTACCGATCCGGCGTGTATGACGAATTCTCAGCAGGAGGCCTGGCCCGCGGGGTGTGTGTCCCCTGCAGGTTGTCTGGGGGCTTTTCTGGAGATTGCTTTGTAGCCGCCACCCCGCCAGCCACCACTGTAGAGCGGGGGAGCCGGGGGGCGGGGGGCTTGCCATGACTGCAGTCTCTACCTCGACTCTTTGAAGACCCAAGTCCAAAGAAAGGGAGAGGAGATAGGCAAGATGCCCTTAGGGAGTGACAGTGAAGCCCCACAAGAACTTTAGGACTTGCATGTGACCATTTTGGAAGGGTGTCAGAAACACAGACCAGGGTGCCCGGGACTGGAAGGACTTGGGAACATTTGAACGCCCCCATGCTTGTTATTTTTATCACCTCTAGCTGCTTTCCCATAGAGACTCCGATGCAGCACAGAATTCCTGGACTGAAAAGCGGTGTGTGTGTGTGTGTGTGTGCGCATGTGCGCGCTAGATGTGGGGAACATGGGAAGGAGGGGGCTGACACTGTGTCCCGGCCGAGCCAGGTGTGGGAGAGAAGGGCTTTCTGGGCCCCGCATGGATGGCAGGCCCCAGGGAGGGGCATTCACATCAGGCCCGAGGTGGCCTCTGGGATTCCCCAGACATACACAACTGTTCCACCAGCTCCACAGCCAGAGCCCAGCAGTTTGGAGTCTCCCCAGCCTCCTAAGGGGTGGGAAACCTGCCTGGAACACAAAGATGAGGGAGGCACCTGGAGAAGGGTCTAGGAGAGGTGGGGAGGGGCCAAGGCCTTCTAGGGAGCTGGGGCCTGGGAGAGCCATAAGCAGCTTTTACAGGATTGTGAAAGCCTGATAGGAACTCTTATTCAGTAACAAACCCGCTGAACACCAGGCATGCGCAGGTTCCCCCAACCTAGCCTGGTGGAGAGAGAGGTAGCAGAGGATACAAAAATAACCACATGGGAATCAGGGGATTATAGTTTATTTTCAGATTTACTCAGAGCAGTGAGGGCTGGCCAGTGGGCTCCATGTGCATCCCCTTCTTGCATTTGGTTTAATCAAAAACTTCCCTCTCCCTACCTCCAAACCTCTAGGTTGTGCAAGATAGACAAGGCCTTCCCACCCTGACCCACAGGGGGGGATTAGGCAGGCAAGGAGTGTGGAGAGTGGGGGTAGGGGAGGGTAGAGTTCAAGTATTCACAGTTTCCCCATCCACACCCCCTGATTACACTGTGCCCAGGCCATGAGGGAGGATCCCAACTCTGGGGTTCCTAGTGACATTAACAGCTCTTTTCTCACTCAGAAACCTCAAGATGAGCTCCTTACCCCCTTTCCCTGACAATAACAAACAAGTCCTAAAGTCTAGTCTGGGCAAGGAGGGGACTTCAGGTCTCCACTTACCCAAGATCCCTCCTTCCTTATCTGGAGTGATGGGGGCAGGGTGGGCTTCACTTGTAGTGAACAGGTTGGGTTGAAGTGGTAATAGGGGAGGAGAAGGGAGAGAACTGAGGGTCTCGGGAGGCAGGCTGGGGGGGTGCCAATGAAGTTCTCACAGCTCTGGTCTATACCCCCACTCCCTCCACATCCCACACCCAGGCCCAGAATCCCTGAGAGTCCACTGCAAAGGCAATATGGGTAGGGGGAGTGGGAGCAGGGGGAGAGCTTAGGAAGGGCCAGGACTGGGCTCCAGGCCCAGCAATCAAACTCTGACCTTCTAGAACAGCTGAGTCCTGGGGCACACAGGGTGACCTACGAACCCCCACATCCCAGGCATCCTCGCTTGGGCAGAGTGGTGGGAATGGGGGGGTGGGGAGAGTCCTTCCAAGGGCATTATAAAAAGATATAACCATTAAAAATTTGGAGGGAAGTGACTCTCAGCCTCTTGCTTCCCCAAGTTGTCAATCTCCCCAGCACCCAGGAGACACAGCTGAGGGAGTCCCAGAGAGCTGAGGAAGAAGGCTACAGCCCCTCTCTGACAGGATGGGCCCCAGAGAGGGGGGTCATTAGCACCATGCAATGTTGGGGCACCCCGGCAGCCTGACTGACCCCTGGGCAGGGGCCCTCCTAAAGCCTGAGTGCCCCACTTGCTAAAGCTTCTGTATTCTTGAGTGGGGGCGGGGGAGCCCTGCAGGGGAGGGGATGAGGGGAGAAGGCTTGGCTGAAGTCCAGGCAGGGGTGCCTGGACTCCCCCTGGGAGTCACGATTTGAAGAATCTTCGTACCACAAACTGGCCCAACAGAACCACAGACAGAACTATCAGCACGTTCAGGATGGGGCCATTTCCCAAGTTCAGGGCTGCCACCTGCCAGGAGAGACAGAGTGGTCACTGAGGGATGGACAGCCAGCATAGGCTCGCCGGGGCAGAGGCGGGGCTGGGAGAGTGGCCACACTTACCCAGCCGCCCCTCTGTGCAATCCACCGGGCAATGCAGTGATGCAGCATGAAGTCAGCCACGAAGCGGGTCACCTGGCCCAGGAAGCCAGTCAGGCCGCGCTGGTAGATGTGGAGGGCCAGGCGGTAGCCGAAACCCAGGAGAGCCACCACGCGGCCCCAGTTAATGCCACTCTCGAACAGGCTGCGGGCAGAGGGGCGATGCTGTCAGTGGAGACCCCCAGGAGGCTCCCACAGCCTGCTCATCCTCTCCCACTGTCTGGTGGCCACCCGCCCTGCTCCCAGCTGGAAAGCAAAACGGCCGAGCCGTGAACCAAGGTGGCAGAGGCTGCCCCAGCTGGGCCTCAATCTGGGAAAAGCCTACATCTCTGTGAAAGGAGGAAACTCAGAGGGCCTTTGAGCGGGCTGGTGCTGCTGGGTTGTGGCCATGAGTGCCAACAGGCGGACAGCAGGGAGGGCAGGACAAGCGGACAGAGGCAGCAGGGAGATTACCTGTGGCGGACGCTGCTGGCCTGGCAGCCCAAGAGACAGCAGAGAGAGAAGGACAAAGAAGAGGTTAGGACAGGTCCTGGAACCGGAGTGGGAGGGGGCAGCCTCGAAGGACATTCAGGCTCTGAGCGTCTGTTGTCTACCTTCACCCCAGCGTCAGTCCCCTCGAGGCTGACTCCTAACCCAGATTTAACAACAGATGACACTAATAAGGACGGCCACCGTTCTGAGCCCACTTCCTCTATTTTATAGACACAGGGCCTGATGGCCAGAGGGTTTCACAAAGCCCGTTAAGTGGCAAAGCTGAGATTGGACCCAGGCACGTGGTGTCTTTAACCACTGTCCACTGCCTCTCAGACACAAGACTGTAGCAAAGGGACATGAGCATTTCTGGAACATGAGCAACCAGACTGTCTTTGGCAGGAGTATGATTCCGAACTGAAAAGACAGCTGTGTCTCAGTGGGACTGGGGAACTCTGGGGACAGCCCCATTCTGGGCGCCTCTCTAGTCCCAATCTAACCGGTCAAGTCCTCAGTACCCCAGCTCACAAGAGCTGTGAGCTTCTACCCCAAAGAGGAGGCGTCTGGGGCCCAGAGAGAGAAAGACAGGGCCCGAGCCCATGCGTGAGCTAACAGCAGATACAGGAATGGCACACACATCTCTTGACGCTGACAGAGAAGCGTGTCTCTCATCCCAAAGGCGGGACACAGTGTGAGGGTGACAGCACAGCGGGGAGGCTGGGGGCCAGGGCTACCTCGAGGCAATCTTGGTGAAATACTCATAGGCGTTCTCCACTGTTGGCTGCAGGTGCTGCAGCATGGCCTGGAACTCGGAGTCGTAGCGCTGGTTGATGTCGTCCCCGATGATGGCAAGCTGCCGACCCACCTGCCCCATGGTGCTGGAGGAATGGAGCCAGCTAGGTGAGGAGGCCCAGCGCGGGCAGGGCTGGGGCCTGGGCTCACGGACAAGGGGTTCCACCCAAGATGCCCCCGGCCTTGTAGACCCCTCCCTGGAGGTTCCTGACAGTGTTCTGACATGAGGGCCAAGGCCAGGGTCATGGGACAGGCATGTGCTATAAATGGTGCAAGGCCCCAGCAGGGGGTGGAAGCCCAAAATGAAAAAAAAAGGCAATGATGGGAGAAGGACAAGACCACCCCCCTTCTACCCAGCCTCCCCAGCTCCCCAGGCCTGCTGGGCATTGACTCCATATGAACCTCCACTTCCCTGAAGATGTTCCTGCGGGCCGAGGGGCCTCTTGCTCACCTGCTAGGTTCTAGGGACAAGGAGACCATTTCTGGGTCAGCAGGCGCAGCCGCCCCCTCAGCCTCCTGCTCCTGCCGATGGCGGTAAAAAACATAGCTGCGGAAAACCTCCTCAGTGTCCCGGGCTACCTGCTCCTCTGAGAATCAAAGCCAGGAGTCAGGGAGGACGGGCTGGACCGGGCAGCCCCACGCTTTGTGCATGGGTCACTCTTCGAGGCATCAGCTGTCCACACCCATGGGCAGAAGCATCCCTAACTCTAGTCCTCAGTTAACACCCAGTGCTTCCTGTGTCCAGGATAACCCTCACCACAGCCTTGTGGAGCAGGGGAATCCCAGTTTACAGATGGGCAAGCTGAGACACAAGGTCACATGGTCAGAAAGAGCCAGGATGTAAGCTGGGCGTGTGGGATTTTCAGTGTGTTTGAGTGGGTACAGGTACCCGGCCCTGATGGCCCAGGGAATATGGGGAAACAGAATTTGAAATTGTAGCTTTGTGCCTCGAAAAGTCACATAGGTACATAGGGACAGACGGGGCACTGAACCCAAAGCCCCGGAAGCAGTCTGTAATGGGCTGGGGACTCCAGGCGTCCCTGATGGTCCCCTCTGGAAAAGGGAAGAAAGGCAGCCATCTTACTTCCTCCCCAAAGTCGTAACAATCACTTTCGCCAGTTAGCAGGCCTGATGGGGTGATATGTCTAGGAACTTCCTTCTTTCTCCTAGTGGAGGAATAGAATAGCCACACCCCCCTCTTCTGGCCTCTCTTCACCCCTTCCTGCTCCTCTTCCTTGGGATGGCGCTGTGCCCGCCTCACACTCCCTCCCGGGCCTCTCCTAGCCTCTACCCCCGTAACCCCAGGCCCAACCTCCTCCCCGCTCCCAGGGCTCAACCTGGACTGCACTCCAGCTTCTGAGGCTACCTGTACTGGGTGGGACGATGCCTTCCTCCTTTATCCGAGGTGAGTGAACGGGGGAGGAGAGCCTACCTGTTAGTCCTGCCTGGTCCTGACCCCTTCTGCTCTCACCACCCTTTCAGACAGCCCTGGTGGTTCTGGGAAGGGCAAAGGGCAGAGAGACCCTTACCAGAAGTAGAAGATGGGGCCGGCTCTCCACACCCCTGCCTGGGAGGACCTGGGCCTTGCCCGGATGCCATTTCTCAGGTCCCAGTGGAGGACAGGGTTAGCCTGTGGGGATGGGTGAGAGAAAGCCACGATGGGGATGGGCAGGGGCTGGTTGATGAGAGGGTCCCACAGCCACAGAGAGAGGAGGGGTTCCCCACTCCCCAAAGACCCACGGTCCTAGCTCCAGCCGCCTCTCAATTCCACAACCTTGGGTCCCTGTGGCGTCTGTGGGCAGAATCAGAACTTCCTGAGCATTTCACTAGCAGTCCTTCCAGAGAGATGGAGAAAGGCAGGGCAGTCTGGATTCATACCTAGGGACCTGGACCTAGGGCCCAGGGGATGGGGGACACCAGCAACACCCTCGTGGATCTCAGGTCATAATTCACCTCACTCCTGGGCAAATCAGGCAAGTTTTAGAGGCTGCGGGTTCTTTCCACTGCTCCTGGGACCTCCTGCACCCTACCTAGCACGCACTTACCACAGGATTGCCACCTTCTAACTAATGACCCATGAAAGCTGTGCTCGAAGGTTCCACTTCCCCTTGGCTGGTCAGAGCACGCCTGTTTTCCAAGTCAGGCCTCTTGGCCAGATATTTCCTGAGTGCCTATGCCTTACTTACTTCCATCTCCAGGGGTGTCAGACACTGAAAATGCACATGAACCCAGCAAGGTAAGCATCATCATACCCATTTTACTGGGGGGTGGGGGTGGGGAATGTGAGGCACCAAGAAGTTAGGGCCTGAGGGCCACTTAGCTAATCAGGGAGTCGGGTTGGTTATCTCAATTTTCATCACTTCATACCTTCAGTACTCCTTTAAGATTTATTTTCCAGTTTGTGGTTATCTGTTAACATCCCACCTGTGCTCTACCCATTCCTGTGTTGCAGTGAGCTGAGGAAGCTGTCTCTGCAGGACCCCCCTTCACGCCCCTCCTCCACCACACCGCATACCTGGTCTCCTGTCCCCAGCCCGTTTTCCTCTTTGCTCGGTCCTGGCCACAGCCCCGATCTGCTCTGTGAACCCTCGACAGAGGGAGTATTTCCTGGACGTGAACTGTTTCACTTTCAATTTGCACCCCTTCATACCCACCCCTCCCAAAGCGGCCTCCATCAGCCTTTTGGGGAAGTACCCCTCCTCCCACCGGGGACCAGGGACCAAGCACAGCCACTGCCTTCTCTCAGGGAGGACCTGAGTACCCTCCCCACCTTCTTCCTGCCTTTGGCCTGGGGCCATTTTCAAAAGTGCCCCAGGGCAAGAGGTCTCAAGAAGGGGTGGGGGAGAGCACTCCACGCCTCCACTTACTGGGGGCAGGGAGACGAAGAAAGAAGGGAGAAGGCAGACCCTCCCCTCCTTCAGCCCTGCCTGCCAGCAAGAAACAGACCTTTGCTTGGCACACCCCCATCCCTGCTGCTCCTTCCGGAAAAAGATGCCCTTCCCTCTTCCGTGGTCCCCCGCCCAGCACCCCCCAGCAAACCCGGCACCCCTGGGACAGCAGGACCGGAAGATGCTGACTGCACCCCCAACTCCATCGACCGCTACCCAAGGGGGTCGCAGCTGGGGAGTAGGTGGGGGCGTCAGAGAGGTCCCCAGGGCCAGAGGCCTCTGCGGCCCTGGGCCCACCCCTGCCCTCATCCAAGTGGCCTGACTTCCTGGTAAGGGGAGTTCTCTGCTCTCCACTTGCCAGGACCAGGATGTTCCCTAGAGGGAGATGCCTGGTTGGGCGGCAGACCCAGTCTAGGGCTCCTGGGGCAGCAGGAAGCACCATGAAAGGTCTCTCCCTGCCCTTGACCTTGGCTCTGACCTCCACTCCCAACCCCCCAGACTGCTAAAAGACCTGACTCTTTAGCACCCAATTCTTTGGCTCCCAGGGCCCGGGCTGGGCCAGGGCAGGGCAGGGAATGGGAGGGGAGGCGGGGGTATTGTCTGAGGGGCATCCAGAGGGAGCCCGGACTGGATCAGGTCCCCAGCAGGAGTTGGCGGAGCTGCCCAGATAAGTCTCCAGACCTCCCCTTCCGCACCCGGCTGCCTGCCGGCTCCCTGTATCCCCACCCCAGGGTCTGGGGCTGCCAAAAGCTGGAAGGATGGACAAGACCCTCCCACCTTACCTGCCCGGACCTTAGCCCGGGCCCGGATGGCTCACAGGGCTGAGGCCAGAGATCCTGAGGGCCCAGCAGCTGCTCCCGGGGGGATCGGGGGCCCAGGCCCGGCTTCCAGGAACAGGGGTGAGTGCAGTCCTAGAGTTAGACACAGCCTGCGCTCGTCCCGGCGCTGCACCAGGGACCCGCGAGGCCGCGGTGATCCTAGAGGTGCCGGCGGCTCCTGGCTCCAATCAGCTCCCTCTAGAGGAAGCTGCTGTGAAGCCGCCGGATGCGGATGCGGGACCCACAGCCTGGGGGTCGGTCTTGGCTCCTGGGCGGGAGAGACGCTCCACCCCCCACACTCGGCCGCACTCAGCTGGCATGGCTCCCCTTCTCCCACTCCTGCTGTCTGACCTGCACCCCCTTTCATCAGTCAGTACCAATAAAAAAGCCAGGAGGGCAGAGTTTCTGAAGCGCCACAGTGTGCTTTGCACTTTGGCGACAGGGCCCTTGTCCCTTGGAATTTTCTCAGTAACCCTTGGAAGTGGGTGCTGGCCCCTACGCCTCTTTTACAGATGAACGAACTGAGGCTCAGCGGGATTAAAGAACTCCCAAGGGCACTGAGCTGGGTTTAAGATCAAGTGTCTGGATGCTGTGGGGAAAAAATAACACTGCATTGAGATTCAGCGTGTAATTAGGACGCGCACAGGGCAGCTTGGTGGGGGTTTGACACCCTGGAGGTGATAGGCAGGCCAACAGAGATGAAAACGCGGTGTCTGTGTACCACCTGGGCCCGTGCCAGCGGATGCTGAGAAGAGAGAAGGAAGGCAGATACTATCTGGCTGTAGGGAACGGTTCTCAAGGGCAGAGGCAGCCCCGCAGGATCAGGGAAGGACAAGCCAGGTGGAGAGAGGTGTGTGCAGAGGCTCCAAAAAGCCCCTGCCCCATTCTCAGTCCAGGGAGCCCCCAAAAGCTTCCTCTGCCTGTCCCCCCACCCCGTGCCCCCTGAAGCCTCATCAGCCATCCCAAATCTGCCTCCCATACCTCCTTCCCCTGCCTCAACGACCCCCTGCCCTCTCTGCCCCCCCCACTAACCCCCCCTATCATGTATTCCTCCCAGCCTCCCCATCACCACCACCCCCACCTGACCTTTGCCTTCTAGAACTCCTGGAAGTTTCCAACTGGAGGTTTTAATTTGAAAACTCCTCCCGTTCTTAAGCAGTTGGTGGGGTGCAGCCGCTCCCTCTGAGTCGGGGTCTCTCTCAGGATGGAGGCCCCAGGTCCAACCCCTCAGTCCCGAATTTTGGGCCACTCCTCCATGTTCCTTTTTTTCCGTAGTCTGGTGGGGAGCAGGGGCAGCCCCAAGAGCTCGGACAAGGCCCTGATGCGGAGTCGGCCATGCGCCTCCCAGGAGCAAAGCACCACCTCTCTGATGAGGAACCGCCAGGGAGGAGCGGGGAGGAAGGAGCCAAGGCAGCCAGCCACACTGCCCTACATGCTCTCTGTGGCCTTGCCACGGCATGGTCCCTTGGGGCTAGGGATGGGGGACACAGGGGCCCAGACCCCCACCCCAAAGGAGGTCCTGAGGGTGGCAGTCCAGGGTGGAGAGGTGAAGCCCATCCTGTCCAGGGGAAGCCAGGAGGTGCTAGGCAACGTGTCCAAGAAGGAAAAAAGAGAAGAGAAGGAGGCAGTAGGGGAGGCCTCCGGGGATACAAGGACCTCAGACAGGTGAGGGGCTGGGCTATGTGAGTGGTGGGCAGGGGCCTGGGATGGGGGCACTGGGGCAAGGATATGGGGCAGTGATGGGAGGACCCAAACTGAGGAGGGCCCAGGAATGTGGGTCTTCATATGGGTAGAGGACTGGAATAAGGCCCCTAGCTCTGTAGGGAAGGGACAGGTGCATCAAGGATGGGAAGGAGCCTGGAGGCCAAGGGTGGGCCAGGAGAATGGGAGGAGAGTCTGGGGGGAGGGAACCAGAGATGGGGTGGGTCTTCCCACAAGTCAGAGGTTGTGGGTGGAGGCACCCAAGGTGAGAGAGGACCAGGCTGCCATTTCTTCCCAGCTCCTTCCTGGTCCCCACTCCACCCTGCCTCCCCCCCCCCACTCTCTCCCTCCTGTTTCCCACTCCCATTTGGACCTGGCACCACTCCCTGTGAGAAAGGGGGCCCACCCCTGTGAGAAAGGGGGCCCACCCCTGTATGATGAAGACCTCAGAGGACCAAGCAGGGAACTGTTGGAGGCAGGAGGAAGGAACGGGCTGAGCAGAGCCTGTGGGAGGGCCTTGGGGAGTTGGGGGGTTTAGGGAGCCTTTGCCATGTCTCTGGCTCCGCCTGCCACCCCCATCTGACTATGCTTTGGAGTCAGGGGCCACTTTGCCCAAGCCTTGGAGGTGAAACAAGGATGCCCACAGAGGGCCATGGGGCCACCGGAGGTCAGCCCCAAGACCTTCACCAGGGAGGAGGAGAAGGAGTGTCTGCTGGACGGTGAGTGCGGTGGCCACAGGCATTGGGGCAGTGCCAGAAATAGGCCCTCTTCCTCAGACTCCTCAGGGGTGTGGGGCCTGGAAGGACACAGAGTGGTTTGAGGGAGTGCTGGGGGCAGGCTGCCTGGATTTGAGAACATTCCATCGCACTATGCCAAGCTGTGGGACGGGGCCATGTTGCTCAGCCGTTCTGTGTCTCCATTTCCTGATCCATAGAGTGAGCATGGAACAGTATCCACAACGGAGGGCAGTGGCAAGGAGTCCATGAGATGCTCTTTGCAGGGTGCCTAGTACTGTGCCTGGCACATAGGAGGTGTTTGCTAAGAAAACAAGGGACCTCACCCTCGCTTCAGCCCACCTAGTGCCCCTGCAGCCCTGGGCCTAGCTAGGCCTGGGCTGCCCCTTGTTCCCATCGGCCTGCTGGTGACACTGCCCCTTCACAGGAGACTTCAGGCTGGCCTCCTCGAAGGTGGGGGCAACTCCTTGGAACCGCCTCCTCACCTTGTACAAGCAGCTTCAGAAATCAGCCATGGCCAAGGTCTGTGGGAGCAGGCTGGGGCAGTGGGGGAGACAAGGGGGGGGGGGGGGAGTGGGTGGTAAAGCCTGGGTGGGGTTCCTCCCCCCATTTGGCTGGGCCCCAGAATTTGTGGCTTGGGCAGATCACTCTTTACTTTTGGGGAGCTGTACCCTCCTGCTTTTTGTTTTATCTTGGGGGTGGGGGTGGGGCTACAGGCTTGGGTCCGCGTTGTCCTCCCCTGATCAGCTGCGGGGCATGCCCTCAGTTTCCTCTCAAGGAAGGCTTGCCTGATGAGAAAAGCAAGGAAAAGGAAATGGAGGTAGAGGACAGGTCATTCAAGCTCTGTGTCCCGGGCATTGTCACCCTGCAGTCACCGCTGCATAAGACTTTCAGGTCAACAGACACAGTGGGTAAGTGCAGTGGGCAACCAGCCCTCAGGCCCAAGGGCTACCCTTGGCTGCGGCTCATGGGTGTGATACCAGTTCTTACCACCAGGTGGGACCAGAGGACCTAAGATGACCACTGGAGATGTGGCTTGGGAGGGTGGGGGTGGTGGTGGTGGGGGGACCCGTGGGTGACTCTGCTGGAGAAGTCTAGCTAGTCCTCCTTTCTCCTGGTTTGGGAGGGCATGAGGTGGACTTGTGCTCCAGGAGCATCACCCTTTCCCAGCCCAGACTTCTAACTTGTTCAGTGGCCTGAGCAAGGACGGTAATAGCCTAACACAGTCCCATAACATGGTCACTGTTGATATTTGCGTAGCCATAACCATAGGTCAGACCCTCTTCTGAGCATTTGTCATGAAATGCCATGTCACAGCTCTGAGATAGGTCCTCCGTTATAATCTCTACCTCATAGTCAGGAAGCAGAGTCACAGAGAGGTTAAGTAACTTGTCCAGGGTCACACAGCTAGTACGTGGCAGAGCTGCGACTTGAACCTCAGCAACTGGGGTAGTCCCTGATCCTTGCTCTTGAGTCAGTGGCTGGTGAAAGGTGGGGGCAGATGTCTGCGCCTCGCATGCTTTCCCCAGGAGGTGAGGAAACCCACACTCAAACATGTAGGAGGGAGCCCACTGGCCAGTAAGTTTCTGGGGGAAGTTGGGGAGGTGGGGAGGTGGGGAGGTGGTATGTGGCCGGATCCGGGTAATCCGGAAATGTAGGCACTGGGGCTGGGGGTGACCAGGGACTCCCCAGGGCTGGGATGAGTCCTGGAGAGCCCGAGCCATCTCTTCTTCCTTCCTTCCCCAACAGGTTGTTCCACCCTCTCCTGCCTGCCCCATGCCCATCTCTCTGCCTCGCAGGTTTCGTGGAGTCGGAGTTAAAGAAGCTTCAGGCAGTGCAGCGGGACTCCCGCCTCTGGAAGGTGGGCAGCCATGATGGCCAGGAGCTGCTGACCAAGCCAGAGATCACCCTGGAGGAGGCAGGCATTGTGGACGGTCAGGTATGCCCCAGCCTGTCCCAGACCACCACCCTGTGCCTGAGGCCACTGGAGAAAGTGAGGCCTCCCACCTCCATAGGCCCCTGGCCCTGGCTCCCACCTCCCCCAGCCTGGGTAGGGACAGCAGCACCCCTTCCTGGTGGTGGTATTTCCGAGAGTAGGAGGTTGACCCCCCCTCACACACACAGTTGTTCGTTTGTCTCTCCGTCTCTTACTTAACCCCATGATGTTGCTCTTTTTCTCTTTTCTCTCCCATTCTTGCCCACACTGACTCCCACAAACACTCGTAGGCTACCCATCCGTGTCACTCCACAGACCACCCACTGTCCACCCTCCTTGACACTGGCCTTCAAGCTCAGGCCTGTTCCAGCTTCTCTGAGTGCACACAGACAGATCAGTTGCAGGAAAACGGGTCGATGGCCTTTAAACTTAATTTGCATTCATTCATCAGCTCATTCTTTCATTCTGTGGACATGTGGCCCTGACAGTCTATGTAGTTTCCTTTTGTAGGAAAATAAAGGAAAGAGCGCAGGGTTCAGAGGCCAAGGCTTTCGCTGAAGCCCTGTGCTGGCCTGGATTTGCTCTGTGGCTTTGGAGAAAGGCCTTGGCTTCTTTACCTGTAAAAGGAGCCTGGTGGGAGGACCAGACAGCACTTGATCTTGGCCCAAAGGCCCAAGTGACTGAAGGATCAAACAGGAAGGACAGGGGGTGCCCGCCGGCCGCCAAGGGCACTATGGTGTTAAGGATGTGACTTACCCCTTCGGGGAGTGAATACCTGTATCACCCACCCCTGGGGGCTCAGCTCTCTCACTGTCCTGAGCCTGCAGACCTGAGGCACCGGTCCCTCCATGCTCTAGGGAACCAGGCTGTGCACCTTATCCTGAACCACACGGTGGCCCAGCTCTGGCAGGGGCCTGCGCTTTTGTCTTTTCACACTAAGGGGATCTCCCGTCACCCTTCCCGCCCTCTTCTCTTCCCTCTCCCCTCCAGAACCACCTTTGAGCCAGCCTGCCCTGTCTCAGGGGTAGGGGGTCACACTCCTGGGGTAGCCTGAGCGGCACTGGGGGTCCCTAGGGAGTTTCTGGGTAGTGGCAGGTCGAGGCCCAGCTCTGGCCTCATGTGGGGGACAGAGCTGCCTCAGGGCTATCTTCCTGCTGTGGGTGTTTCGAGGGTCCTGTCCTCATCACAACCCTCTACTCTCTCCTTATCTACCCTCAGAGATACCAGGCTGAGGGGGAAAAAAGCTGCCCCCCAGCATTTGGGGAATGCTGGGGACCTAGGGGAGGGGTGCTGAGGCAGCGGAAGCAACACCCTAGGCTGGAGGGAAGGGTGCAGAGCCCCCTTGGTGTGGTGTCCAGGACAGAGGTGAGGGAGTGGAGGGCTTGGCTCGGGTGACTGACTCCTGGGGCTTCCAAGAACCCCACCCCTCACAAAGTTGGAGGGAGAAGGGTCCCTCATTTAGTGGGAGGGAGGTGGCTCAGGGCTGTGGGGTCACAGGGGAGGGTCTGGAATGGCCTCAGGGTGCTTATCTCTGGGGGGTATGTGGGAAGCTTCTAGGGGTACAGAGCCGGAAGGGGGAGCCCGAAGGCGCTGAGGCCTCTTTCTTCACCCATTTCTGCCCCCAGCACTTGCTCCTGGAGGAGATGGACGAGCTGGGGAACTGGCCCCCCGAGTGAAGCTGCCGCCGCCCCGAGTCTGCCCTGCTCCCGGATCCCCGCAGCCTGAAGCGGGAGTTAGCCTCCCACTCTGTGGAGGCACATCCGAGGCACCCCCAGGGCCAAGGGATCTTGAGATCACTGGTATCCATGTGTCCGCAGGGTGGGCCTGCCCAGCAGAATGTCACCACCCACCAGACTCAGGCCTGGGTTATTAATAATAAAACCCACTTTGACTTTGGCCTCCTTGGCTGTTTCTGGACCCCACCCCTCAGCCTCAAGCTAGGAGCAGACTCAGGTTAGCCAGGGTCTCAATCTAGCCCCCAGGGCAGTAACCCCCATTGCAGACCCCCGAGTTCCAGTGGAGGGGCCACAGTGTGGCTTTGGAGCCAGAGGACAAGACCTTTGGTGCACCTGACCCAGAGGACTGGGGGTGAGAGTGCCAGGAAAGCCCGTGCTACCACAGGACTAGACTCTGTTAGGGGGAGCATCCTTGACTTCCCTCCCTTCTGAGTTCCCAGGCCATCTCGGCCTTGGAGTGGGGGGAGCAGGGAGGATCCGGGAATTCTCCAGCAGGAAGTTGCTGCCCAGCCAGCCCAGGGACAAAGCCAGGAAAGCAGCCTTGGGGCCATAGGGACCTGCTGGAGGGCTGAGCTGGGGGCAGGTAAAGGGTCCCCCAGGATGGGGGTTGTTGCAGAAGGGTTCCCTGCTATGGAGGTGGGGGCGGGGCCCCATCCGGCTACCCCTGGTCACAGCCCTTCTATACCATAGTCAGTGCCAGGTACCTCACAGGGATCCTGGTCAGAGGGAGATCCAGACGTCTCAAAGATCCAAAGGCAAGGATAAGCTTGAGTCAGGGACACATAAGGCCATGTCCATACTGGCCACGGAACGGGGCACCCTCATACCTGACTTTTTGGGGATCCAGTAGAAGGGCGGGCCGGGCCCAGTTTGGACACCAGGAGTTGTTGTTCGCCTGGAATCCTTGACTCAGGCTCTGGGCTAGGGGCTGGTGGAAGGGCCATCTGACTCTCCCCTGAGTCAGCCAGGAAGCAGCCTTGTGACACTATGACTCACCTGTGCCCTAATTATTTCCTCCCAGAGTGTTGGCTGTTGGGAAGGGTGGGGGCCTTAGCAGCGGCCTGTGGGGGTTCCCTGGTTCCACCTGGACCCTTTGATCTCCCCCAGCACAGATGTAGCACCCCCCCACGGGCCCCATGGAGGGGAGACCTTCTCTCCCCCCCCCATCCTAATAAGCCCGTGACCTTGTGCCAGGCCATGTCCAGGCTTGAATGGGGATTCCCAGGGCCCAGAACACTGTAGGACAGAGCTTCTGCCCTCCTCCATTGCTCTCCAGGTGGGGCCAGCCAATGGAGTGCCCAAGCAGCCCCACATTGGCTTGGGGTAGGCTGGGCCCCCTCTGGCAGCTCAGGCTCCTTGGCTGCCTGTGTGAGACAAGTGGCCCCTGGGGACCAAGCATCTCATCCTCAGCCCCCATGAGGGTTGGCTTCTGGGGAGCAAGGGGGCAGGAATCTTCATTTAGTATGGGAGACTCAAAGGTGATCATTCCCCTCTTTTCTTCTCTCTTTCCCTTTCTGTCAAGTAAGGGTCGTGCCACATCCTCGTCCCCCCAAACCCCCCAAACAGAAGGTAGCCTGTGAGAGCAGGAAGAGGGTGTGCACACTGGCGCAGGCATGAGGGCCTTGTCCCAGCCCCTTGGAGTCCTTGGCAGGTTTCTGTGGATGGTCCCGGCTTGATACTCATGAGTGACGAAGGCAGGGGTGACATGGCTCAAGGACCTGTTGTGGGGGAAGGCCCAGCAGATGAGTGCAGAGGCTGGGCTCGGGCTCACGGCCCACATGGAGAGAGCTGGGCATTTCCCAGAAGCTTCCAGGGACCACTATAGGCACGTCTTGTGGGTCAGACCTGAGGACCGGCTGGCTGGCATTGAAAGTGACCCTCCTCCAACACACACAGTGAGGGAGGGCTGCTATGCACTGCCCTGTGTGTTGGGCCCTGCACCAGTGTGCTTGGCTCAAAGGCCAGAAGGTTCTGGAACCCAGCCAGGGTGCCTCTCTCTAATTCACTCTGAAGGGCCAGTCAGGTTGGCAGTGGCCCTGGGCCGTCCTGCAGGTTTGAGGGGAGCCATTACTTCCAGAACTTGCCAGATCTCAGTTCCTTTCTGGGCTTGTCATCTCTCCCATCTTCTGTTTTTCTCTGTTGTCTCTGCATGTGTGTTTCTGTTTCGTGCTCCCTCACCCCCCACCATGCGTCTCTTCCTGTGTCTCTGTCTCTTTTTCACTGTATCTCTGGAGGGATAGAGGTAAGAAAAGCAACCCCCAGATTGTTCTCAGGGCATTTTTGGGACCCAGAGGTGGCTGAAAGAAAGGGGGAGGGGAGTAACTGAGGAGGGGGGACAGATGGTCCCAGGGAAAAGTGGTCAGGGTCAAAGCTGGGCCTGCCTTCCTGGGGAGTGGGTAGGGTCTCTCTCCCTGCAGGCTCCTGGGCAGGACCTTTGAGGAAGATGCTGCCTGTGCCAGGTCCAGAGTCACTGGTTGTCAGTCTTGCCTATCCCCAGGAAAGGGAAGGGTAAAACCACCTGTATTCTTTTCCAGGTGGGCAATGAAATGGAGAACAGAGAGGCAGAGAGGAGAGACTCATCGGGTTGGAGCCCCAGCTCCAACTCGGACAAGTTCATGTGACCACAGACAGGTCCCATACTTCTGTGAATCTCAAGTTTCTGCATCTGTGAAATGGGCAACTCATGGGGGCTTCTCATGTGGGCTGAATGAAGTGCTATTTGGCATCGAACAAATACTTCTCAAGCATCTACTACATCCTGTTCCTATTCTAGGCACTGCGGAATAGAGCAGAGAACGAGATGTACAGAACTTTTTTTTTTTTTTTTTAGCATTTTATTATATTGCTAGAAGGATAGACAATAAACAGATAATACATCAGGGAGTGACAAGTACTGTGAAGAAAGATGAAGCTGGGTAATGCGATGCTGTTTTAGATCTGAGTGATGGGGTGGGCAAGGCAGCTCTAAGGAGATGATGTATAAACAGGGATGGGAGGAAGGGAGGTGGTGAGCCATGGGGGTGTTGGGGAAAGGGCATTCCAGCAGAAGGGACACAAGTGCAAGTGCCTTGAGGCACTGGCTCCTGTGAGGAACCAGAAGAAGACCCCTGTGGCTCAGAGGGAGAGGAGTGAGTGGGAAGGGGAGGAGTAGGAGGTGAGGTCAGGAGGGAAGGAAGAGGACGTGTATTTTGCCCAGCTGGGCTTTTTTCTAGGGCTTATTTGATCAGTGCAAGGAGTGACATGATGTGGCATACGATATAAAAGTCTTCCTTGGGGGGCCCCTGGGTGGCTCAGTCGTTAAGCATCTGCCTTCCGCTCAGGTCATGATCCCAGGGTCCTGGGATTGAACCCTACGTCAGGCTTTGTTCTTGGTGAGAAGCCTGCTTCTCCCTCTCCTGCTCCCCCTGCTTGTGTTCCCTCTCTTGCTGCTCTCTCTGTCAAATAAATAAATAAAATCTTAAATAAAAAAATAAGTCTTCCTGGCTGCTGAGGGGGGAAGAGACTGTGGGGATCAGGGACTGAAGCAGGGAGGCAGGTGGCCTCACTGGCGGCTGTAATTATTACAAGGGGACTAGGGGGTTGCTTGGGGGGATCTATTTCACCAGGTAGCGCCCTCTGGCCCGAACTTCTGTGCGATGGTCAGCCAGGGGCTCCCCAGGTAGAACCTCCCAGCCCCGCCCCCGAGGAGAGGGGCGGAGCCTGGGCCCGGACTGGAAAAGGTGGGGCGGGGCGGGAGGCCAGCGGGGCCTCCCTGTGGGGGTCGCCTGTGGGTGACTGCAGAATGAGGGTGGAAGGAGGCGGCTGCTATCTGCCTGGCTTGTGCCCACCGAGGCGCCTAGCAAGTGCAGCCTGGCCGCGACCTCCCTGCCTCCTCCACCCCCACCCCCGCCCTGCCCCGCCTCTGGGGTGTGAGTTAACAGCAGACCCCAGCCATGAAAGCAGGTGATGATGTTCCCGCAGTATTGGTTTGGAGACCCCCGCCTGAGAGGAAACCAGTCATTGCAGCAGGGAGGAATCCAGAAGGCTTCAAGGAGGAGGCACCATTTGTGATTTGGGCTTGCAGGGGAAGCGGGAGGCCATGCCTGCCAGGAGAACCCCGTGGTAATGGGACAGTGTCCAGCCGCCACCACAACCCCAGGGTCCACCCCCCTTGAACCATTCTGGACTCCTCTCCTGGGCCTCCTGTTCAGTCCACGTGTTCATGTGTAGTCCTTTCTCCCTGCCCTCCATCCCTCTTCATGCGTGCTCTCTCTGTTCCTTTCCTGGGGCCCCAAATCACAGCCACAGCTTCCCTGGCTTCTCAGAGCTGCTGTCCCCCCCACTGTCAGGTCTTCCGTGGTCCTCCCCTCTCCCTCCCCCCCCCCGGCCCCCGTGGTAACTCCTGCCCCTCCCTTAGAGCTCAGCTCCAGCACCTATGTTCCTGGAGCGCCACATCTGCCTGGCTCTGGGTGACCAGGATCTGCGAGTGCAGCTGCTCTCTCCTACCCAGGACCGATATACTATAAGGACAGGCCCTGGGGGGCTTGGTCTCCTCAACAGCCATGTCAACTGAGGTGGCTGGTGCACAGTTGGCTCAACACATGCTAGATTGGTGGGGGGGAGGTAGGTGGGAGGAGGGGGTATATTGCTGGAGAGACAGGCGGGGGCCAGATTGTGTAGGACCACTCAGATCGTTCTAAATGGCTTCACGTTTATTCCCAGGGCCCCTGGAGCCACAGAGTGCTCAAAGCTAGGAGAGTGGCCTTGTCAGATGCACCGTGGAGGGTGGAGTAGAGAGGACAGGGGGCTGATTGGCCAATTAGGAGGCTGTCACAACTGTCATAGTGAGAGGGGTGTGGGCCTAAGCTGGGACAGAGGCGGATGGGGTAGACTGGAGGACACTTGGGTAGTCCTTCTCAACTGGGGGCTAGTCTGTCTGCCAGGAGCCATTTGGCAATGGCTGGAGACATTTTTGGTGTCACAAGTTAGGGGAGAGTGCTACTAATGTCTAGTATGTAGAGACTTCTCTAGTCAGTTTCATCATCTTTAATAAAGGTTATTAGAAGGATTAAACGGGTTAATACATGTTCGGTATTTAGAAAAATGGCTGATACATGTTAAAAACTATGTAACATGAGCTACTGTTATTTTAAACATAAATCCTCTGTTCAGAGCCCTGCACT